AGGGGAGGGGGAACAAAATGGCGGCAGCGGCGGAGGGAACGGGAGCGCTTCACTGCTCCTGCCGCTTTCCCGCACGGATGTGAACGTAAAGCTCTGGGGTTCCGTTGCTGCAGTACCCTCGGCGCCCCGGGAATTGGCGCCCTGCCGGTGCCGCCCTCCCCGCGTGGCCTGGAGTTGGTTCCCGCGGAGCTGCCCTCAGCCCCTCCGGATCCTGTTGTAAGGCTGCAAACCTCGCTGCGTTGTGCTTGCCGCTGTCGCTGCTCACTTTTCAGAAGTGTCAAGAAATTGTGATACCAGTGTGTTAAAAGCATACACCTCCCCCAAAAATCTTGCGTGGAAGCAAAAGCCCAGCGACTGATTTTTTTCATGTTTTTTTCCGTCATTGTGCCCATTTTACCTCTGCACTCCTTCCCTTGAGCTACAAGAATTATTACCTATACCGAAGTGTAAGGTTTTTTTAATCGTCCGTGTAAGTTCAGATGATTGTGAGTCATTTCAGAAGGTGGGGCTCAAACTGAGGGAAGAAGAATTAACCTTCTCAACCCAATGCCACTCTGTAATAAATGCTGGTTGCTTCCGAGGCAAGCTCTTAATTTTTTCCTGTTCTGTTGCAGTGGACAGTTAAACCTTGTGACAAAGGTGAATTTTTTGGTGGAAACTATTTTCTGAGTAACACATTGTGGTTTAAAATTGAGACATGTTAAATTAACACTGCCAGTGAATGCAGAAATTCGAGTGCTGAAGATGTGAAGTCTCTGACAGAAACACTGCTGGCTCTTTGTTTTAGTACCATTAAATGTTCTCTTCTCTAAATGTTTTTACCTCAGTGCCAGCTAAAGCCCAAAGAAACGATGAAATGTCACACTGACTGAGGTTACAGTGAGTTTTAGCTGAAACCCTCGAGTTTCAGAGTTCCATACCTTACACTGCTTTGATTTCCTGTTTTCACCTGATTGTGCTTTATGTACTTGTGACTTCTGATAAAATTACCTTTTGATTGAGACAGGTACGTTTTGAGGAGGTGTTGCCTTTCTGAAGACTCTACATGGAGGAGCTTTTAGCTCAAGGAGGGGAGGTTGAGACTGAATATTAGAAAGAAATTGTTCTCCTATGAGGGTGGTGAGGCCCTGGCACAGGCTCCTCACAGAAGCTGTGGCTGCCCCATCAGAACAACCTGGGATAGTGGAAAGTGTCCTTTGGATTGGAACAAGCTGAGCTTTAAGGTCCCTCCCAACCCAGTGTGCAAGGAGACACTGAAATTAGCTTTTCCTTGGCCTGAGTTAGCACAGCTGTTTTTGTTGTTGCAGTAGGAGGAGGAGCAGGATGGACGTGCTGCGGCCCCCCTTGATAACGATCGGGGGGCGAGTGTACCGGAAAAATCTCATCCAAGAGCAAGCCTTCCCACACGAGGAGGAGGAGGACTTCTGTACAGGTGAGGAGTGATGCTCAGGAGGTGGAAGCATCAACACTGGGGACCTAGGGATCTCTCAGTGTCGTCTCTGATATCTTTGTGAGCACAGAGACCTGCCCGTGTGGCGGATTGAGGTGTTCAAGAGGGAGAAGGAGGCTTTGTGTTGGTCCCTGATGATCCTGCTGACCAAAGTGGAAGCAGTTCCAGTTATCCCAAGTGGCTTGGCTGACTGTGGAAGATCTCGAGGAAAAGGGAAAATCCAGAATAGCTCTGTAGATCTGTTTTTCCCGTGTTCCTTTCTGCTCCTCACCATCACTGTTTGCAGATATGGAAGCTGCTTGCTAAAGCCCCTCTGTCCTTGCAATGTTTGCACCTTTAAAAACTGGCCTCTTACAGTGCAGCTTTTGGAAGGTGTCACCTATTTTGGGGACAAAATTCTTCATGTCCTGGTGTGTTTTGCTTTGTGTTTCTGCCTGTGTGTTTGCTGTAGTTGTGTGTGACCTGTGGGCACAGAAAAGCTCCAGTGTTACTTTTCAGCTGGGAACATGGCAGTTGTGTCCTGTTTCTCCTCCCACCTTGCCTTTCAGTGGATTGCACTAAGCTCTAACAAGGTGCTTTCCACCCAAATTCATCCCTGTTTTTGTTGGAAAGGGAATAGGAAGGCTCTTTCAGGATGTTCTGTTTGATATGTGCACGACCGAACGGCCCACGGAAGAAAGGCACCTCTGTGGCTCTGAGGCTGTTTCTAAATCCCTGGCTTGAACCCTCGGACCAAAGCTATCCTCACCTTTTATCTGTGTTCTTCTGCAACCTTAAATTTCTGAATTGGCTGCCAGAAGAGAGCATTCCCACTGTGTAGGAATTGCACAAACTCCAGCTGAGGTAAAACCTGGGCTGTAACTACCTGCTTCCTGTGCCTCACAGCCGGCCAGATTTAGAAGCAGTCATTATGTGTTCCAGAGCTGGTAGTGAGGTGATAAATAAAAAGCAGTTATCCACAGCAGAGAGGAGCCCATTCCTTCCTTCATTTAACCTTGAAAGAAGGCTGGGAGGAGACTGTTGTCCTCCATAAAGCACTGCCAAACTTCGCAGAGGCTGTGCAGGGCCTGATGTGGTTTTCCCGGTAGGCCCCGGTGACTGCGCGGACGAGCCCTGCGATGCCTTTGTGGTGGAGGAGACTGAGCGAGGCTTCCAGTGCCGGGTGGAGGCTCCCAGCCCCTTCTACAAGTGAGCCTGTGTGCTTTGCTTTGTTTGATTTGCCACCAGCTGGGGAAGAAGTTGAGCACGGAATATTTCTTTTCTGAGGTTGGGGTGAGCGCTGGATCTCTGGAATGTGCTCCCTGCTCTGGGTTTGAGTGGGGGGGAAGGGGAAATTGGCAGAGCTTTTCTAGTGTGGTTGGGCCTCACTTGACTCCTCACTGTCCCCGTGGAAGGGACAGCAGGTGGTGCTTGCTGGCTGGCAGGAGAGTCTTTGAGCATCTCTCCCCTTGAACATGAAAGCATCAAGGAGGGTGGGAGAAGGAAGCGGGGAGGAAGAACTGGAGTGAGCAGCCTGGCAGGGGGAGTTTGTGGAAGCTTTCAGAGAAAGCACACATGACTGGAATTGGCTATTGAATGCAGTCCCTTGTTTACTGAGGAACCTGTAGTGTTCAAAGTTTTATCTAGTTCTTTTTGACAGTTTTATTAGTTGAATAGTTTTGCTGAAATACAGAGAAGGAAAAGCAATTCATTGTGTATTCTGGCAAATGACTACCTTGAGCAAAGCAAAAACCAGAAAAAGCCCTTATTTCTTCCTCAGCTGGGATAATGGGTAAAGAGATAACCCAGCTGATGGAGAGACTGTAGCAAGATGTGGTGGCTCTACCAACTTATTTTAATTTAAACCAGTTGTAAGCCATAGCTCAGCATTGTCCCAGGCTGCACACATGTGAAGTCCTGGGAATCACCTCTGTGCCTGGGTGTGGTCCTGCACATGGAGCTGGGTGTGTGCATCCCTCCAGCACACAGGGTCTGGATCTGGATACACGTGGTGGAGAGTGGCTCAGTGTCACTGTGTGAGGGGAAACTCTTGCACTTTCTGCCTCCAGGTACATCATTGGGAAGAAAGGGGAAACAAAGAAGAGGCTAGAAACAGAGACTCGAACCTCCATCAGCATTCCCAAGCCTGGAGTGGAAGGAGAAATTGGTGAGTAGAATACACATAAAATGGATGTGCTTTTATCTGCTCTTGCACAAGCACAATTTAACAGGGAAGGAGTACAGGAGATGTTTTCCCTTTATTTCCTACTTCTAACACAGCACTGACTCGCTTTTGGCCCTGGGAAAGTCACTTCACTCTTCTCATGAGTTTATTTTTTATTGTTTATTGTCTATAAATCCTCATAAAACAGTGTCAGGTGGTTTTGGTTTTTTTTTAAAAAAATAATTTCTGGGCCTTAAATAACTGGCTTGAGAACTTGGGTCCTGAATGTGTGGTATTTTATTTTTAGTTCTGCTTTTCAAACAGTATTCCATCAATAAGAAACTGAAATAAGCATTCAGAGAAATACCTTGTTTGTCTGTGTGCAAAATAAACATCTGCACATGCTTTAATATGAGAAGGGTTGAGATGACATTCCTGACTTTCTGGTGCTGTCACTAGATGCCAACAGTGAGAGCAGGGCTTCTCCATATGTTCCCTCTCATCACTTCCAGGGCTTTAAAAAGAAAGGAGACCTTGCTCATCAGGGCTGACCCATGTGGGTTCTGCCAGAGTGGGTATTTGGAGGGTTCCTTAGGGCACATTCCAGAGATGACTGGCACGGTGTGCAGGGATGTTTGTGACAGAGCTGGGAGGAGGAAATGCTGGGAGGATCCCACTGGGATGCTGCACGGGAACACGGTGGTGCTTCTCGAGGAGTGGGTCTTGACTTCTCCCAGAGAACTCTGAAGGACTGTTAGGAAGCTTGAGAGATGTTGAAAATATGGGATAATAGGAAGCCAAGGAAATTTTGCTCCTTGCTGTTCTTTCCTTTTGAGCTCAAGTGTTCTCTGTTTGGTGCCTTGAAGTGCATGCACAAATCACACGGACCGTCTTGATCCTTAATGGATTTCCTTGGCGTTTTCACTCTGCCTATATGAAAACTTGAAACAATGCTCTAGAAATTTGAAGGGCCCCTGAACTGATGGGCTCTCAGTTACTGTTTTTTAGGCCCTCAGAGCTGACTTTCTGGACAGCAGAGGCGTGCTTTTGATGGCATCATCCTGTTTTTGCTGAGGAAAGCACAGCCGTGTCAGGCATTTTAAGTCAAGCAGGGAATCTGGCAGGTTTTTCAGTGGATGGCTGGGGGTTTTGATTCTACTGCTTCCTCAGGAGGCTGGGACTAAAAGCAGAGAGTTTCAGGGAAGCAGAGAGGTGCTGCTGTGTTTCCCTGCAGTGATCACGGGGCAGCAGCGGAGCGGCGTCATCTCTGCCCGGACGCGGATCGATGTGCTCCTGGACAGCTTCCGCAAGAAGCAGCCCTTCACACACTTCCTGTCCTTCGCTCTCAACCAGCCTGCCATCCAGGAAAAGTTCCTGCAGTTCAAGGAGGAGGTGTTGGAGAAATGCTCAAAGGTAGGGATCCACGTGAGGATTAGAGTGCAGAGTGCTGTTTCATTGATTGAGAGAGCTCTTTGGTATTTTCCTTGCAGGCCATTTTCTATTCTGTTTCCTAGGAATGCATTTTCAATAGGCCTTTTACTGAGTGGATCTGCTGTGAATTTCTTGAGTGCTGTTGTGAACTTTTCTAAAAAGTGGAATGGTTTACTTAGTGAATTGTTAGCAGAGATTTTTCTAGATGGAAGGATATCTAAGTTTCAAAAGAGGGTTGGGGTTTTTATTTTTAATAGGAAAGTCACTAAATAATGTAATGTGTCTGTCTACATTTTATATGATTTTTACATAACCATGAAACCAAGTAGGAATTCCCAAATTTGCTGCTTCTTCTGTTTCACTTTTCTTTTGGCTCCTGACAGTGAAGGAAGATGGGTGTCATTGCCAGAGCTGAGCAAGAAATGACTTGGTAGCACATGCTATCCTGCAAATATCACCACTTCTCTTCTTCCCCGGGAGACTTTGTGCTGACAGCACTCCTACTTGCCTTCAGATCTTGGGTTGGGAGGAGCAGGAAATAGTTAGGCATAGGGAAATGAGGAAGAAAATGAAGAGAAAGCCCTGCATTCCCTGGTTTATTTTATTGTGCTTCTGGTCTGACAGAAGTGGTGTGTCAGTGCACAGGGCTGGGCTGAGGAGAGGGCATGGTGCCACTAAATTGCCATGTCCTCTGTGTCTGCTGGAGGTCATCTCTAGGCAGGCAGAGGTCTCTCTGTGGCTGCTGCAGGTTGCATTGCAGACACATTGCAGGGCTCTGTGGGCTCATACTCTTCACTTTCACGTCCATCTCTTCTTCTGGTGCCTTGCTAAAGGGAAAATACAATCTTGCAGATAGCACGGCTTAAGAAGTTTAGTTTCCTATGTCTTCATGTCATGGGTGTGTATTATCTTAAATCTGAGGAGATAGGAGTTCTTGCTCAAGTTCTCATGGTCCCTTGCACATCCGTTGTTTCATCTCCAAGAGCAGATCTGAGCTGTCTTTGCAGTCTTGTCTTTCCTGGCAGTCAGGATTTAAGCCCCTGTTCTCCTCCCAGCTGCTTAATTCCGTGACATCTTAGGAGCTTCCTATCACCTGACATTAGATACAACTGGAATTGGCCAACAGATCCAGGGACAAGCCAGTGCAGTGCCAGGAGAACCTTTCCCTAGGGCTAGGAGCAGGATTTCTCCTCATTAGCCAGCAGCACTACCTTTATTAAAGCTCACCTTGATTAAAGGAATGCCCTGCAGGCAGGGGGATGGAAACATGAGCCTGGGAAGGTGTTGGCTGGACAGAGAGTTGGGACCTCGGGCTGGCATCAGTGATGGCCTGGCTCCCTCTGTTGGTTTCTAGTTCCATCCTTGTGTGGGACATGCTGAAGGTACAGTGAGAGAAGCAGCTCTTTGAGGGGCTCTGTAGGGGCTGCTCGTGCCATTGGCTCTGGAGTGAGGCTGCTGCTTTTGGCATGGGGTTTCTCTTGCCCTTTAACCCCTTCTTCCTGGGCTTATGGCTGCTACAGTCCTTTCACTTGGCCTTCCCTGGAGATCTGGCCCTGCTCTGCCTGAAGGCTTGGCATCCTGGACTCTATATTTGATCCTTCTGCTCCTCTTCCTCCTCCTCTAGCTGTCTGCCAGCAGGTCCCGTGGAGCTCTGTAGTCCCTTCCTATGGCCTTGCCTGCTGCAGTAACCTCAGTCTATCCCATAACACTTGCTGGCTTCTGGCTTCCAGGCTGCCCTGGTATTGGCTGAGTCTTCCAAGGTCCTTTCTAAGTCCTTTCAGCATCACATCTCTACGATGTGTGTTTTATCCATCTTTGCAGGCAGTGCTGTTGCTGGCACTCTCCTCCAGTGTTTTTAATTCTGCAGCACAACAGACTGACACAGGACCAGCCCTTCTCCTTGCAGAGCACTCATTTTTCCTGCCTTCTGGGTGGGTTGCATCTCTGCACCCCTCCATTGGCCCAGTCTCCTCTGGTGATCCTGCTTGCTCTCCAAACCCCTCCTCATCTTGTCTGTCACATTGTTTCTCTCTTGCTCACTCTTAAATGTCAGTTTGCATCTCTGGATGGGGGTTGTCTGCCATCCTCTTAAAAATGTGTTCAAAGACTTTGTGCATTCCCCAACTGTTGTCAGTCACATTTGGAAGGAGCTGCCTGGAACATCTGCAAACCTTCACACTCTCCTTGTCTCAGAAAATTGCAGCAATCCAGCTTTGGTCAGGGAAGTGCTGAGACCAGGCCACTTTCATTTTCCTCCTCCCGCCTGATCTTCTGTCTGTTCTGCAGTTTTTGTTCTGTGTCTGGACAGCTCCAAGTCCTGTAAAGGCCTGAAATGTTCCTGGCACCGCTTACATCAGCTCCAGAGTTTAAATTTTCACTTTGAAACTTAGAACTCAGTAACAGGTATTCAGAGGGTTGCATATGTGTAGCCTAGGAATATATAGTGCTTTATTTTTCTGCCCTTCCCTTCTCCTGGTATTAGCAAAAGGGTTTCCAGATATATTTATTGCTTCCTGTTAGCTGGAGGAGTACAGTGCAGCCCCGTGTGTCTCTCAATCACTCTTCCAGCCGGTAATGCCACTCTAATACCACTTTATCTCACAGCAGGGTCTGCTAGAAAGCACATCAGTAATGAAAAACAGTAATTCAAAACTGTGCCTCGCAGAGCAATAAAAGAGCTTATAGATTTGTCCAAAGCAATGGGATTTCTCGGAATACTTGAGGAAATCTGAATAGGTTTCAGTGACAGAAGTGGGGCGTTTCTCTGCCTGGTGCAAAACATTGCAGGATTGGGTAAACTTCAGCCTTTGAATGAGGGGTAATAATGGTAAGGAAGGGAAAGGACCAGGTGTGTGTGTGTGTGTTTGTATGTTGTGTGTGTGTGAGGATCTCTTCTGGCCATTGAGAATTTGTGAGGGACTCTGTTTCTCTCTGAAGCAGTTACCATGACAACCATTCATTTATATTTTATAGCATTATGTTGGTGGGTATATGCTTTCTAAGTTTTTTGTGTGTGTGTGTCTTTAAAAGCTTTTAGAAGATAAACCCTGTGCTGAAATACAGAACGCTTCAGGTGTTGTTCATGCTGTACAGGCAGGGCTGCCAGGCAAATGAAGCAGGGCTGAGGGGAGGCTCTTTTAGCTTAATTTAATCTAAATACGGGGACGTGGCTCACCTGGACAGGCTCATCAGTGCTGTGGTGCAGTGGGAGGTCCAGAGGACTGGATGACCTTGGAAGTCTCCTCTCACAGTCATGTAGGTGTCAGAGTGAGGAGAACTGAGACGTCTGTCTGAGCATGCAGGTGGAAAAGGGAAGAGATTTGCAATAACATTGCTGTGAAAAAATCACAGTTGGGTCTTTGAGAGCTGTGCAAACGCAACGTTTGCAGGCTGAAGGGGCTGCAGATGTAGCAGGGAAAAGAAACTGTAATATATGGCAACCTGTAAATATCAAACATTGCTAATGAGGCCTTGTATCTCAGAGCAGAAGGGACAGAAAGTGGGAGGGTTTTTTGAGCCTGTAGCTCTTCAGTCAATCCTGTGCAAATGCTGTTTTCCTGGCTCGCTCCTTTGTGAATCAGGGTGGCAGAGGGCACGTAACTGGCATGCAGTATCCTGCTCTTAAGGAAAAAAAATCCTGAAAAACATGAAGCTGTCTGCAAACATTGGGAGCTCTTAAAACAGCAGAGAGGACACAACCAGGGCAGAAGAGCTAAGGAGCTTGATCCCTTGCCTTTTCATGTAGAAGGGCTGAAGTGTGTTGTAGTTTATGGCTTCCCTACTACAGGGTCTTAGATTTGGAGGGACAGCATGCTTGGGCTTTGCAAGGAGTTGGAGACCCCAGATAAAACATTCTCTTGTGGTCCTTCTAAAGGAAGAGGCATAGGCTAAAAAGGACAGTCATCACATATGGACAGTGCATAAAGGGATTATTCTTCCTGCTTCTCAATACATCTTAAAGAGCCCAGATTTGAATTTTTGGAGGGACAATAGGGCAGATTCCCATGAGGTGGCTCAGTGATTGATGATCTCACATCATGATCTGGGATTAGAATAATTGAGTTCCAGCCTTTTTGCATCCTGGTGAGCAGTATCCAGCCAGGAAAGGCTGCTGAGACACTCTCAGAAACATTGGCTGTTCCAGGGAGAGCCACCTCTGACGTAGCAATCTCTTTTATGTGTGGGAGAAGTGGGATCTGCCGGCCTGTGAAGGAGTAGGGAGTGTAAGCAGGGTTTTGAAGAGCTGCCTGAAATACTAGGGAGTAAACCAGGAGGATTATCTAGGTCTTGTCCTGCTTGCTGTGCACTGCTCTTGCCTGCTAAACTCCCCAGCAGCAGTAACATGGCTCGTGGAGGTGGCGTGCCATCGTTTGTCAACTCTCAGCACCTCAGCTCAGGTGTTGAAAACCTCGGGGAAAAATGCTGCTTTTGGGGCAGGGTCATGTTTACAGCACAAGTTGTGCTGGGGCAGAAAATGAGGGCAGGGCTTTGGCTTTCTGACCTGCAAAGGGCTGTGTTCCTGTACCTCATCTGTGCACTCCATGGGGGTGACCTTGGCCGGTTGTCTGGCAAGGTTAAATCAAACCTTCTCCCAGTTTCTGTTACCCAAGCTGTTGTTTTGTGATGGGCCAAATATTCTCTGACTGCGGATATCGCTGGAGAAAAAAGGCTGACGGAGAGAAATCGTGTCCTGTCATGCATGTGAGCAGCAGCTTGAATTAAAGGAAGCCACAAAGCTTTTACTGCAGGGAGGGGAAGGTAGGGAGAAGTGAGATGGGGCCAGGCCTGGTTTTTGCCAGGCTGTGGCTGCTGGAGCAAGGCCCTGACCTCTGTTTTGCAGGCTGCCTTGTCCTTAGTCCAGCCCATAAGCTGTGCTGTAAAGAAGGGTCTGCATGTGGTCATTAGGCATGAAAAATGCTGAGTGAGATGTGGGGCATTAAGCTCTTGACGGCCTGAGATACTGCAGCATTTAAACGTCTGAAAGGTTTTATTTCAAACTCTGGAGCACAGTAGGAACTTCAAAGCTATTGCTCTCAGCTGGTGCACTCTTTTCAGATGCAGAAAGGTTTCCATGGCCTGGCAGGTTGGCTTCTTCTGGAGTTAAAATTGGAGGTTATTTAATGCGCTGATGGGAAGTGGCCACTAAGTGGAAATAATTGTTTTAATATGGGTGTGTTAACCATCCCTGAGGTATTTTTATGAGTATCCTAGAACAGAATAGCATATTTCTTAAAGCTGGATGCAACCACTGCTCCACCTGGGAACAGTTCCTCCCCAGCAACAACACACAGCTATTCTTATAAAGGGAATTTAAACTTTAATTCATCTCTGCAAACTATAGGGCATATGGGAAGAAGAAAAATATAATTATCAGAGCTGGTATTAGCTGTGCTTCTGTTGTGAGGTGCAACCTGTGTTTAGACAGGATTTAGAGACCATTTAGAGCTTGTCACTACAGCTGGTCTCAGCTTTATTGCACAAGAAATGGACTTAAGTTTTAAATCTGAGCTGGCTTGCGTTGAGTTCATTGCTGGCAACAGATGCTGTGTTGGCAGCTGTGGAAGTCTCCTCCCAAAAAAAACCCCATATGAGTGAGTGTTGCAGGTCCTGGGTCCTGAGTTCAAGCCTGCTATAATGATTTTCCAGGCTGCTGTTCAGCAGCTCTGATGAAAAAGCAGGCAGGGGGCTGTGGTGGGACAGCACCTCACCTGCCAGGCTGAGCTTGCTTCCTCACAAGGCTTGAGAAATTTTCAACTTTGAGTCATCACCAACCTGACCAGAGATAAAAGGGTTGATGCCAGTGACTCGGTACCTGTTTTCTGTACTCTTTATCCCTGTGGTGGAGCAGGGTGTGTGTGGATGAGCTAAGACACCTCTGTGTGATGGATTGATTTGTAGGATCACGGGGTCAGCAGCAGCCTGTTCCAGAACCCTGCCAAGCTTCACCTGACTCTTGGGACGCTGGTGCTCCTGAACGAACAAGAGATCCAGAAAGCGTGTGACCTCCTGCAGCGATGCAAAGAGGACTTTGTGGAGTAAGTGGTGGGAAAGGGGTGTCATCACCAAGGCCTGCAGAGAGGGGAAAGCAGCACTCTGTCCTGACAAGGAGCAGCGAAGAGAAGAGCAGCTCAGTAGTCTCTCTGAACTCTAGAAATTTAAAAAGAAGGCTGACATTTTTCAAATGTGGCAGTAGAAATCACTGAGCAGCCACAGAGAGGCTTACTATAGGCTGAGCCATCTATAGCTCAGCTCAGACCCTCAGCATTCCCTGAAAACCTGCTCTGCTCACTTCCCTTCCTCACACACGTCCCCGTTCTTTGTGCGTGAGCAGTCTTAGCCGCTGTCCCCTGCCTGCTGCAGAGGGAGGGCTGAGCTCCCTTACCTTTGCACACTGCCTGCAGTGAGCTCTGGCACTTCCCTCCTGCCTCAGAGCAGATGCTGAGGTGTCCTTGACACGCATTCCTGGACGAGGGGAGCTGCGTGCAGGGGAGCCATCAGGAGCCTTGTGAGTAATCAGCCTGAAACGGTCCGTGCTGCTCTGGGAGCGCGCCTGCCTCGCTGCCTCTTAACACCAAGCTGCAGATGTTGGGGCTTTAGCTGCAAATGTGGTCCAGTGACACCGTAATTAGCTTATCTCTGGTCAGCTTAGTAATTGAAGATGGCCTGAGGGAGTGGTTTATTTATTTATTTCTGCAAAGCCTTTGCACACAGAGCACAGATCCTTTGCATTCATTTATTTGTTGCCTCGGTGCATGAAGAATTGGCCACGCTGTGCCAGCTAATATCTGTGGGAATTAATGCACAGCCAGAATTCATACCTCTGCCTTTAAAAGGATGGCTCCAGTTCAGCTGTTGAACAGAAATACAAGTGTGTTTCCAGGGGGAGGCTCTGAATGCAATATTTGGAAAGTGCCAGCTTCCTCATAAGTGGATTGAACTGATGCCGAGAAAATCATTGCTCCCTATTTCCTTTAGTGAAGGGAGAATCAACACTTGAAGGTAACCTTTAGTTTATTTCCCCTTCCACACCCAAGTAAATATGCTTGGAAAATTAATTAATCTCCCTTCCACCTACATAAACCTGCATTAGCTTTCATTTCCTTTTCTAAAGTGCAGGCAGTGACCTGTGAAGGTAGCTGAGCAAGGTCAGGGCAATGTCACACTCACCTTGCTAACTCAGCTCGTGGTGTTTGTTACATCTGCCTGCCCAGACAATCCATGTTCTTTCCATGAGCCTTGGTGTTAAAGGAGGCATCACTTACTCTCATCCCAGCCTCCTGGGATGCTCTGCTGGGAAAGGCAAGGAGGCGGCATGTTGGGAAGCAGATACACTCTACAGAGCGTTTGCAGGTGTGGGAGTGCATATTATATCCTGCATGAAGAGCTGGAGCTGATTTTAAACCAGCTCTGTTTACTGGTTGGATGTTGCACTCAGAGCTGTGTTCTGTATCGAGTACCTTTCCCAGCAAAAATCAGAGAGCTGGAGACTTTATGGTTGGTCTTTTCACAGGGAGGCAGAAGCCTCTCTGCAATGAGAACTTGAATCATTTACTTCTGGTGGGTTTTTTGGCATGTGGATGTGCAGATCTTCATGTTGAGGTGGCCTGTGACCACTGACAAATTGACTTAATGTGTGTCTGAAACACCAAATGTATGAATTTAAATTATTTTACCACTTGGGGTGATAAGGCAATAGCAGCCATCGCCTTTTGAGTTTTAGGAATTTGGGAGACTTTTTGAGTTTGGGTTTTTTTAGTGCAAACAAGCAGAAAAATAGGGGACAGAAAAGAGCTCCTGAGTGGAGTTCACTGCCCCATAGACTCTGTATAACATTTAAGTCCCACTTAACATGCAATTAGTCAAATTTTGCCGTCTCACTATGGCAATGAGAGTATCTAATCTCATTCCCATAGCAAACCCAAATATTTGGTGTGTGCACGAAGAGCACTCTGTGTTGCATTTCAAGAGCTGGTGTGATGTTTTACTTTTTAACATTAGAGATTTCTTGGGTTTTAGCCAAATTACTGGAGGCCAGCCCCTGACTGTGGAGGTGGCAGGAGTGGAGTACATGAACGATGACCCTGCCATGACAGACGTCCTTTACGCCAAAGTCCACATGAAGGATGGCTCAGACAGGTGAGTTCCCCGTGCTCCTGTCTTTCATTCCTCCCCAGAGTGCCAGGGAAACCCTGTGGAGCTGGTGGGTGCTGCTGGCAGTCCTCAGGCCAGCAGTCACAAAGATGAAGTCATCCTTGCTTCCTGAACCTGTTAAGGCAGTGATGTGTTTGCTCTTTAAATCAGTCACTGGTGGTGCAGCTGAAGGATGTCGTTTGTTTCTGCAGCAGGCTGTCAGGTTGAATAATGGAGTCACGGCTCACACGGGGATAAGATGGCCAAGGAGATACTCCTGAGATGACTTAGAAGGCAGGATGATTTGGCCTCTACTGTCTAGTTCTTCAACCTGCAATCCAGATTAATCTGGACAGCCTGGTGTATTCTGCAGCACTTAATTATTCTTAAAAGCCAGTTAGCCCAGGAGGTCCTCAGAAGAGCATGACCTGATTACAGGACTGGTTTGTGTGTCTGTAGCAGCCTGGAACGGGTGCTGGGTGTGAAATGTCTTTTGGAGCTGTTGCTGCAAAATCTTGAAGGCTGGTTGGTGACAGCTTGAGTGTTTGTGCTGCTCACGAAGAATGAGGAAACACAGATGGGGCTTGGAGCACCCTGGTCTAGTGGAAGGTGTCTCTGCCCATGGCAGGGTTTGGCACCAGATGATCTTTAACACCTCTTCCAACACAAACCATTGTAGATTCTATGATTAACATAAGAGCTGCTGTACTCCGTGCTGCTGGTTGCCAGAAACAGGGAAAGGGAGTAGCCAAAAGAGCTTTACCTCCTGTCTCTGAGCCTCAGCCTTCTCTTTGCCTGACAGCACTGCCCTTTTGTTGTCTGTGCCCATTGCTAGAGGACAGCAGGAGCTAGCAGAGGAGCACGGAGCAGTGCAGCTGGAGGAGGGAGGCTGTGAGCAAGGACTGGCTCAGGGAAGAAGGGATATGTTCTGGCATATCCTTTCCCTGAGGGCTGAGGAGATGGAGGGGGGAGGCCCTGCTTAAAACCACACTTTGAAGGCTGTGTTGAAGTAAGAGATCGGAAGTGGGATAAGGAAATGAGTGGGAAAATGAAAAATGTAAGAACTGCTGAGAGGCAGTAGGAATTGAAGTATTTCCCTTTTCTTGGCTCTTCCACTTTGAAGTCTGTCCTACCCTGAAAGAGGTGAGATAAAAACAAGCGGGGTGGGTAGAGAACCAGGGCAAGGCAGAGATCAGCCAGGAGAGAGAGCACAGGGAGAAAGAGGGCAGAAGCACTTGGAAAGATGAGATGGAGACAGACACTGGATGACCCAAATGCCCTTCAGTAGGTTTTGTTGTAGAGAGCATCTAAAATATCAGCTCTGGGAGCTGAGGTCTGGGTCTCTTCTCCCGAGTCTGGCTCTCTCTGAGGTGCAGTGCTTGCCAGTCTGGTTGCATCTGAAAATAAGTCTGTGGCCTGAGGAGCTGGGAGAGGAATGGTGTAGAGCATAAGCAGGGCCTCAGTTGACAGTGATGTCTGCCTGCCTCTGGGGACAGCTTGAATTGTTGGTACTTTCACCGTGCTCTGTTTCAGATGCCAGCTGTATCCTGAGCGGTGAGAACCCACTTAGGTATAATTCTGGGGGAAGTGCTGATGTGCATCAGGGGTGGCAGAGCTGCTTTGGGCAGGGGAGAGAAGTGAGGTCTTCAAATCCACCTTGCCTTGAAACTGAAAACAGCACTCACCACCACCCCCCCCGGAAAGGACTGGTGTCTCCACTCTCCTTGACAGAGATCTGTTAGCTGAGGTTTTGACCAAAGCCAGACCTTGTGCTTAGCATGGCACCTGGAAACTGCTAGGCTTCTCTTCCACAGCACCTGTTTTGCTTTTTGCATAGCAGCAGGCTCAGGGAGGGCCAAGTAATTTGAAGTTTCAATCCTTGGTTCAGGCTGGTCCTGCCCTCACCTGCAAATTAATTCACAGAATCACAGAATAGACTGAGTTGGAAGGGACCAACTCCTTGCTCTGGCCAGGACACGCCAACAACACCACTCTATCCCTGAGAGTGTTGTCCAAATGCTCCTGGAGCTCTGGCAGCCTTGGGGCCAGTGACAATTCCCTGCTCAGTGCCCCACCACCATCTGGGTGAAGCACCTTCTCCTGATATCATTCATCTGGCATTTCTCCCCTTATATAGTTCCTTATCTATTAGCAAGCATCCAGAAAAAACATTTAGCTTTGCAGAGGGGAAAAAAAAAAGATATTTTTGTGTTGATGGAGAGCAGCTTTTCATGCTTTTGAGATTCCAGCAGGCACTGTGTTGGACTAGCAGTGATTATAAAGAGGGGACAAATGGTGATCTCTTTAGAAAACCTTGCTTTGTCTTCTGGCCTGGGACACAGATCATTGCAGAACAGCTCCTTGAACCTGCTGAAACCTGCAGTGCCTTGCTTAGGGAAATGGGAAAGCAGTTTCTGAGCTGCAAGGCCAGTACTAGAGGAGAGTAGGAGCCACATGGCTTCCTGTGCTGGATCAGACTGCTGCAGCCTGTGCTGGAGAGAGGTGTGTGCCTTCCTGTCTCATGCAAGATGTCCTGTTAGCTCTGTGTAGTTCCTGGCATGGCTGAGGGGTGGAGTTCCTTCCTGATCTTTGGATGATCTTGATCAGCTTAAGCTGTAAAGCAGGAGATTTGATTTATCCTGACTTAGCTTGCATAACTGCAGACAGAATTAGGGGTTGGCAAGCCCTTCTGCACATATAATGGCTCAGACTGAAAGAGGGATCATGCTCTGATGCCTCCCACATGGCAAATAATTTCCATTATAATTCATTCTAATTTGTTTTATTTCCTTGATTAACTTTATAACGTAATAAAGCACTATTTTCACTTGAGCTATTCTCTGTTAATTTGTTTTAGTATTGTCTGTAATGATATTCATTTAATCTTTGTCATTGCTAATTTTAAAAATCACTGAAGTAAAGCCAGAAAATAGTAGAAAGCCATGACAATTGGTTGTTTGAGAGTCTTGAAATGGTCACATGGGGGCTGGCAGCCCGTGAGGGGCAGTCCAAAGCCAGCAGTGGGGTCAGAGCTGGCATCCAGAGTGTGGCAGCCCCAGGCTCTGGGGATGGGCCACACTGCCACAGCTGAGACACCAACATGGAGCAACTCTCACGGAGCAGAAAGCTCTCTGATCCCTGGGACGTGCTGAGAGAAGCTCAGTTTCTTCTGCATAGACTTAATACCCCCTGGCTTTTTTTGTTTTGGAGATGGGAAGCTCTCATTCTGGCATATCCTCACTGCCTTTGGTAAGAATGAGGCAGAAATATTTGTGTCACAGCAGCAGCCTGGAAGTTCCTTCAGCTCCTTAGACATGAGTACATTGCTCTGATCCCTGCTCCTGCTATCTGTCCTAGGATGGGTCTGCCCTCAGATCCTGACAGTCAAGGCCAGACACAAAGGTGGGAATAAGTCCTTATTAAGGACTGGATTTTGCTTGCTCAGTAGCTCCAAAGCTGGACTGTTCACCAGAATGTGCTGACTGGGTTTGTGCACCCCCTGTCACCACATTCTGGGCTCTCCCAGAACGCAAGCCCAGTGACTGGGTTGCTTTTCTGGGACAGAGAGGATCCAGGCTGCAGCAATCCCTGAGCAGATCCTCTGGGAGTCAAGGTGCCCAAGCCCCTGCGGGTGTGCAGATTTTAGCATTTGCAAGGAGAGTCACATTGTGTTTCCTGGCAGTAGAAAGATGCATCCTTCAGCTCCCAGTAACATCTGTCACTGTGAGCAAGCTCTCTGCTGTGCTAAATCTGCCCTTCCTCGTGGAATATTTGCAGCAGAAGCGATCACAGAGGAAGCTTTGCGCAACAGTCAGAACTTTTTGCATTAGAGCTGAATCCTGATGCCTCTGCTCGCTTTCCATCAGGGACTAGCTAGCTCCCTTTCCTGTGTGCATGCAGAGACTTCATTTCACACTTGCTGCCCTCCTGGCTGAAAAGCCAAAAGCTGATGATGCAGAGGCTCCTTGTTTTACATGGCTCTGTTCTTTCTCTTGGTGCCTTCCCAGATTGCAGATGGTCGCTGATCAGCTGGTGGAGCGGTTTGTGGCCTCTGGCCTGATGCTTAAAGAATGGGATAGGGTGAAGCTGCATGCCACAGTCATGAACACTCTCTTCAGGAAAGATCCAAGTACGTACAGAGCCTTCATCCTTGCTGCTAAATGCATTTAAAGTAATCCCATTCCTCAGCAGACACTTTTGTTGTTTGCTTTTTCAGTGTGGTTTTTTCTTACCCCACAGGGCTGGAGGGGGGAGATGTCTGCAGATAAAACCCAGAAGAAAATTTAAAATGCAATGAGCAAGAATCATAGATTCAAAAACTTGTCACCTAGTAGCACTCATAGTATTTGGGCTAGGGAAAAATACAAGTTCAAGTAGAATCATAGAATATTCTGGGTGGGAAGGGACTCACGTGGATCATCCAGTCCAGCTCCTAGCCCTGCCCAGGACACCCCAACAATCCCACCCTGTGTCTGAGAGCATTGTCCAAACACTCCTGGAGCTCTGGCAGCTTTGGAGCTCTGACCATTTCCTGGGGAGCCTGTTCAGTGTTCCCTCTGAGGGAAGAGCTTTTTCCCAATATCCAACCTCCCCTGGCATAGACCCAGCAATGCCCCTGGGTCCTGTCCCTGGCCACAGAGAGCAGAGGTCAGAGCTGCTCCTGCACTGCCCTTTGTGAGGAAGCTGCAGACCCTGGGGAGGTCTCCCCTCAGCCTCCTTCAGGCTGAACAGAACAAGTGACCTCAGCTGTTCCTCATGGAGGTGAAATCTTGGGCTCTCTGTGTCCCAGTGTTAAAATGAAACTGGGTAACAACTCCATGTGTTGTGCTAACCTTCAAACAAGATGAAAACATAATCCTCTTTGGCTAACTTAGAGATTGCCTATTTCTTCAGGAAAGCAATTCCATTGTCTTTCTCCTTAAATCAGATGCAGACGGCTGCAAAGCTGAACGCGAGCTATTCTTGAGTGTATGGCGTCTGCTGTCTCTGCCAAAAGATTGTCTGCTCTGGCTGTCTGTAGCATCGTTCTGATCACATTACTTTATAAAGCAGCCCTAAAAGCATCATCTTAGGGGAGGAGCAGTGTGTCACAGCCTGGTTGTCCCTGTGCAAACGTGCGTGCTCTGGCACAGTGGCCCCTGTACTGCAATAGGTTGTGTCAAGAATTCTTTAGTTGCTGCCTCTCTGAATCTCTGCGGGGACTGTGGTAACAGCAGGTGATTTGTGTCATCGTTTTCTGGGCAGCCTTTGGTCTGACTGCTGCCGAAGTCAAACATACCCAGGGCGTAGAAACCCTGTAAAGATGGGGTTCAGCTCTCAAACCGAGCCCTGAAGATGTGATCCCAGAGTGCTGATGGGAGGGAGGCACACGGGCAGTTAGGTCTGGCATCCCGAGTCTATATCCTGCACAACCCCATGAGGCACGCGAGGCATTCGGACACAATGGGGAGAGCATTCCGCCAGCATTCCGCAGGCAGCCATACAAGTCGCTTTGTATTCCATACAGGATTTGAACAGCAAGCTGGATGTGAGTGGGACTTCATAGTTAATGATGGAGATGAAAAAGAAATACTGAATATATTCACCGAGCGAGGCAAAGGTCCCGTGGAACGGGCAGATCATGTACTTGGGGATTTATATAAAAAGCCAGACGTGCTGTGGGGAGATGGATCTCAGACGTAGGCTTTTGGCAGCTGCTGTAGGCCTGGGTTGCTATTCTGAATGTCTCTGTGTGTGTGTGGCTGCGTGCCCACCCCGCAGAAGCATCCACACCACATGGGTGGTGCAGGCAGCAGAGGTTTGTGGCGGTGCCGTCCGCGTCCCGCCTGGCATGGTGCTGGCACGCTCAGCCTGGAAGTTGGTGCTGTTCCAGGCCACGCAAGAGCTGTCTCTCACGCTGACATGGCAGGGTGTGGGATGAAAACGAGCCAGAGAGAGAAGCAGGTGTGTTGCATTGAGCAGTCAGCCCTACAGAATCACCACGGCAGTAGCTGTGATTTAGGGCCTTTCCTCCAGGTAACAGAGGTGATCCCAGTAGAGGCACCAGTTCCAGCCCTTTTCCTCCTAAAATTCAAGTGGAAGTGGGGTTTTCTGCATTGGTTTATTAGCTGGCAGCTGATTTTGGGGAGGGACAGAGTGGGAGGGTGAAGTACAGCACGCAGAGGTCTCCCATCTGAAGTTCATTCTGGTGGTGGCTTTTCTCTCTACAGCTGAAGAACGAAACAACACAATGACTGGTAAATCATCTTTCAAGGAGAGGGAGTCATTTAATGGCCAAAATATCCTCAAGGTCAGTATGAAACAATTAGGGAAATGGAGCCAGCTATGGATATTGTATAGCCTAAAGAGGTCAAAACACCTCTTCAAGACTGCTTTTGTCTCAGGCTTATGGGATCTCCTGAGGGCTGGGGAGGGTGGGGAGGGGAATCTGTTTAGAAAATAAACAGTCCAGATCACTCATAATTGGGAGCATTACAGTATTTAACAGGAGCATTCCTAAAGCTGCTGAGGCTCAGAGCAGGAATATGAAGCACGAATGCTAAGTGGGTGTTCGTGTTGTCGTTTACTTCACTCCTGTTTTACCCTGGAGACTCAGGCTCGAGTTGATTCTCAGCCCACCAGAAAGAAGCACTTCGTTGCTCTTGTTCTACTCATATATATTTATGAAACTAAACCCCACTCTGATTTCACTTACTGTTTTCTTGCTGTTTTTAATCTCTGCTATTGATTTGCTCCAGAAAAATAGCGGGTAGTGGTAGGGAGTCCCACCAGGATCTGAGGGCTTTGGCAGTGATCAGAGGGTAGAAAACACGATCCCCCAGGCTCTGGAGGTTGGGTAGGGCTCAAAGGGGAAGCATGCTGCAGACTCCCAGGCTTTGCCAGCCAGGTTTGGGACTGCAGACAGCCTCTGCTGTTCATCCAGATGGCTGTGGCAGACTGGTGCCGTGGTGCTTGACCCCTGCAAGTGTCCAGAGAGAAAAGAGACACACAGAGGAGCAGAAATGGAAAACAGCACTGGCTTGTAAGCAAATCTGCAATCCTCATTGTGTTGAGAGGATTTGTTGCAGGCTGCTCTGATAAGAGGGAGTGAGGACAATGCATGGATACATTTGGGAACGGTAAGAAGATATTCTGGCAACAAAGAGACATGAGAGAGGATACAGGCTGAGTGGGAGCTGGACAACCCAGAAGGACTTCAGAGCCCTCCCAGAGGAGGGGAAGAGTGCGCTTTATTTGTATTTACAGTTTTAATAATGTATCAGGCAGTGAATGCAGGGGGATGTGAAGGCAGGGAGTGGAACTGATTGATCTCTGTGCAGAGGACAAACAAAGGGACAAAATTAGGTTAAGCTCTCATTGTCCTCAAACGGTCTGTGCAAGCATGGTGTCATGACTCAGCGTCACCACGTGTTGAGTGTGCAGTGTGAGACTGCAGTATTGCAAGCTGGAGCAGGGAAGCTACAGCCCTGGTCCCTTTTCTTGATGTGATCTGCAGTTTTGGATAGCTCCAAGTGTTGGGAGAGCCAGCTCTGGAAGGGGGAGGAGATGTGTGTCAGGAGCCCCGAGTGCCTGCAGGCCTCTGCTTTCTCTTGCCTGTGTTAAACTTGTCCTCAGGCTTTAAAGACACATAAAATTAAACTCTTCGTCTTCCTCCGTGCTCGCATCCCAAGCCGTTGGTGACTGAGAAGGTATTAACGGTGCTCCCTCTGCTGGTCACACCATTTGTGGGGGCTGAGGACCTGGGGAAGGGTCTTGCCGTGCTTGGAAGTGCAACTGCTCTTCTTCTGAGGCTCCTTCTTATTCTTGATGCTCTCAGAAATATGAGCCCGATGCATTTTTAAAGCTCCTAATTGATTTTGTACTGACGTAGAGCCAGAAGAGCTGCTGGCTGTTTGGACTGCTGGTAATTACTTCAAAGCATGTCTTGCCACAAGAAATGTCATCCTCCTCTCCCACCTCCACTACATTTCCTAACCTGCCCGCTTCGTATTTCCCTTTGGTCTCCCACGTGCCTGCAGCAGAACGCCCGTTGGCATTAATTAATTACATGAGTCATAAATAGCTCCAGGCTTCTTACCGGAGGAGCCCAGCCTCAGTGAGCCACTGATGCATTCCAGCATGACCTTGCAGGGACGTGCCAGTTCCCTCCCAGCCTGCTTTTATATCCATTATTTATCTTGTGCCGGGGAGGCTGCCCTCTCGCAGAGTGGCTTCGTTAACTTTTGCACCAGCATCTAAACGCTGTTAATGAATATGGCTGCAGTTAGGCAGGCTGGTGGGAGGGAGAGCCATGTGCCCTGCATGTGATTCCAGGCGGTGGGACTGCGCTGAGTGGCTGTGTTCCCACTTGGAACGCTAACAAAGCATGGCTGCTGGTAGGAGGGTAAGTGGGAAAACTCAGGTTTCATCGCTCTCATTCCCATTGTGCAGGGACAGAGGCTCAGGGCAGGACTGGAGCTGTCAGAGCAGGGAGCACGATGGAAGTGCTGTGGCTGTGCTACTCCAGGCTGAGGCTCCCCGTGGTCAGAGCTGAGGGTTGTGTGTGTGTGTGTGTGTGTGTGTGTGTGTGTGTGTGTGTGCAGATGCGCTGGCAGCACATGTTTGCTGATAACATGCCTGCGCTACACCAGGCTCCAGCTGGTATTTTGCTTTCAGCTGAACTAATCGGAATTTTATTTAATAATCCTTTGTTCTACCCGTTCCACAGAGTTTAAACATACACTCCTATTTGTGCTAATAAATGGTTGTGCAGGCCGGTACCTTCCCACACTGCTCAGAAAATAGATCCTGTAGGATGACTTGCGTTTGGGAGTTTAAATTACTTCTGTCTTGAAGAATATCCCTAAAAAAGGCTTCCTGGCATAGGTGCAGCTGAGAGCCCAAGGGGCTGTGTGACCCAATGGATTTATGTCCAACAAAGCTTTGACTTTGCACTTCTCTAATCTAGTCCCAAAAAGCTGGGGATGCTTCATGGACCGCTTCATACGGAGAGATACAGATTCCTTCTAGGCAAAACCGTGCTCTAGTCAGGAGAAATCTCTCAGAGAACGGAGGGAGGAGGCAGCAATTCCTGGCTGGAAGGCCCTGGGCCTGGAGGAGAGGCCGGGTTGGCAGCTCCCTGCCGTGTTCCCCGCCGTGTCCTGGCGGTGGCCGCGTGCCCTGCGCCGCAGCTGGCACAGCGCTGGCACGGAGGCGGCCGGGACAGCTGCCGGCATCTCCGGAGACGAGGCTGCGCTGCCTCCGGGCTTTTATTTATTTTTGTTTAGTGAGGGGAAGAAAAAAAACCCAAACCAAACAAAAAAACAACTAAAGCTGCAGGGAATAAATAAAAAGGAAAAGAAATGTAAAAAGCCCAACTGGCCAAAAATTTCTGTTGCACGTTTAAGGGAAAGGAAGAAAACCACCTGGGCTCTCACTGGGTCAAAATGGAATGGATTTTGGCTTGTGTTGAGGTCTGAGATGCAAATGAATGGCCTTTGCCACGTTCAGACAAGAAGGAAACAAATTTTGAGTGCAGAAAAAGCTGAAGCCTGCCGCTTAGCACAGATCCGTGCATTAACAGCTTACAAGATTAAATATTGCGGGAACAGCTACAGAGGTACAGCAGCAGAAAGCTGCACATCTTATGTCTTACAGCATTAGGGGAGACTTTAAGCTGGGATGGAAGACTGGGAACGGGATCAGCCAAGGTGGTGACACATGCTGGCGTGCCCTGGTCCAGCAGTGGGGCTGCAGGAGTGCCCAGGGAGGGCTTCTAGGTCACATAAGGCATCATTTGATGAGGCTCCTTCTCTTTCAAGGCCTGCAAGAGTGTACTGAGTTATGGCACTGAAACTGCTTTCACTGGGAGCAGGGGGAAAGTGCATTTACTGACCAGTGGTGTTCCCTGTCACTGTGCCTGTCCTGCTGGGTAGGAGAAGTGCAGAGGCTGTGCCATGCAGCAGTTCAGCTCAAAACATCTGATGCAATGCAGAGGTGCAGTGGAAAAGAAAAACCTTGGCCTGAATAAACCCCTGACCCCTCAAAATACCCCAAGCCCACCAAGCTCTAAACAAATGAACACCTGCCCCTGTGTAGGGCCAACTCCACTTGCAGATGGAGGAGTGTGTCTCGTGTTCTGCAGCCATTGGAACCCAGGCCTTTTGTGTAATTTTTGTTTGTGGGTTTAAGGAGGCTGAATCTTTTCCTGATGTGTTTCTAAGCTGAGGTGAAATCAAAGAGCTAAAGAATGAGCTGGTGTTAGGTGAGGATCAAGACTGCCTGGTGTTCAGAAAGGGTAAGAACACCTTGTTATCCTCAGCGAGGTGGTAAAGATGTAGATCCAAAGCAGGACTGACAGCTGGAACAAATACCTAACAGGAGGTGGCTGCTTGGGAAGTTTAGAGTTAAAAATACCAAACAAAAAATCCACTGGGGCGAGGAGAGACTGAGTAAGAGATCGTGGTGCAACATCAGTATCTCAGAAACAAGCCAGTGCTTTCCTCACCTCGTTTTTACAGAAGAATCAAAAGCAGAAATGAAAGGCTGTGATGCCACTTTGCAGAGGGGAGAATTCCTGCCATTACCAAGAGGTACCGGAACAATCGAGGGGGCTCAGCAGTGAGCAATTAGAGCAACAGTGGGATGGGAGGATGTGACAGTTGAGCAGATGAGACTCGAGATCAGTTTGTATAATCATGGGGGGGAAAAAAAAAAGAGATTAGATTGGGTTTGCTGTGAAAATGCTTTCCTGCGAATTATATTCTTCAGAGGGAGAAAAAGCCATATTCACGTTATTTGCATTTGATGAAACAGAAATCTCAAGTGGCATTTGAAAAATGAGAGTAGACAAAGGAGGGAAAAGATCTTTGTTGGAGTGTTTGGGCCTTGGAGGCAGAGTTGGAGGTTTTGGGGGAAGGCTGAGCCACTGCACTGAGGAGAGCACACTGCAGAAGGTTTGTGCTGCTTTTGCATGACAGAGATCTCTGGTGACCTTACCAAGAAAAGAAGCCTTTTTTTTTTCTCTCAGAGGTGCTCTACACCCCTCTGACTAATTTTAGCAGGAATTGTGACTGCTGGAAGAGGGTTTGTTGAGAGTCTCTGAATCCTCTTGTCCCTGCACCGCTGCACTCCAACCCAGGCCAGCAGCTGAGCCTTTTGGAGGTTCTGTGGGTGCCTCTGCCTCCCACCCGGTGAGCATCCCACCTCCTCACTTCCCCAGATCACTGTTGTGCCACCAGCCAGCCAGGACAGCGTCACCTCTTCGATCTTAAGAAGATGATTTTTCTCTGTGGAGCTGGCAGGGGTTGAATTACAGCAGCGCCTTAATAGAAGGCAAGGACCCAGCAGATTAAATGCAAAAAACCCCAACCCACTGATTAGCAAAAGTAGGCAGTTCATCCCAAAGGTGCCATGACCCTTCTGCTGGATAATTTTCTGTGTCTGTCTGAATTAATTTACTGGCTCTGTAGCTAGACTCCTCCTCTTGGTGTTTGATGGGCATAATGAGAGGTCACTCTGAGGGGAGCTCCTTGTCCTGGTGTTCCCGGATGCGTCTCAAGCCTCCTGCCATCTCTGCAGCAAAGCCAAAGCCCAGCTCTTAGAAACTGTTGCTGCATTTGCTGTAATAGGAGCCGTGGGAATGAGGCTTCTGTGGAGAAATGCAGTGTTTGATTATTAATTTCTTTAAGTTGTACTGTAAATCCCTCACATTTGAGGTGTAGGTCCAGGGTCTTACCAGATCCTTGAATTTGCTGAAAGGGTTTTTATTCTTGTCTGAAAGACGTGCAAAAATCTGGTAACCTCCAAATGTCCCACTTGTATTTGTTTCTTAGTTTGCAGAATGCCTTTCACCATAGCAACTGGGGTTTGATTTCCTGAAGCACATGAATTTTCATGGATTTGTGATGGGGGGAACAGACCCAAAACTGTGAGCTAAAGCAAAGGATTTGCAGCGTGGCAGTGGCAGGAGCACCACTAGATTTGGCTTCTGAGAGTGGGGGGGATCCTGGAGGGAGGGGAATTCAGCTGAACAAAGGCCTGCACCCAGCCCTGAATGGTTCTATTTGAAAAAAAATCCAGCCTGACAGATTAATTTAGACTATTGCTGAATGTCACCCTCCCCACTGCTGCATCACCCTCTGGCAGCTGAGGTGGCTTTGCTCCAATTTTATGAAGAGCTGAGGTTTCACATGGCAGCAGTCAGAGAAGGATCAGCTGCTTCCATATTCACAGAGCTAGAAACCTCGTCCTCATCCCACCTGTGGAGGTCAGGAGGGTGTTAGGGCAGCATGAAATACACTCTGAGGTCTGCAGGTGAAACCCAGCTGGGGAGAGGCAGGAATATTGCACAGGTGAGTAGGAGGGAACAGAGCTCCAAGCAATGTTGGGAAATCAGAAAGAAGCAAACAGGCAGCTGCGAACAAGGACAGGTCCAGGAGGGAGGATGGAGAATGCCTCAATACCAGCCCAACAGGCCAGGCTCTGGCTTGTGGGGGGCTGCTCCAGACTGAGTCAGTCTGTGGAAATAAAATAAAAAGACAAATGTCTTTACTAAAGTAAACCTCTGACTACGCTTAGCTGAAGGTTTTGGTTACCATGGATGGGTGCAAAGAGTCCAGGGGACAACAGTAAGATAATTGGAAGGGTAGAAAATGTCTGCAAGCTGGGGCTGAAATAGTTGATTTGAGGCTGGTAAAGGGAAGGAGGACAGCACATAGGAAAAACTCTTGAAGCATGGGAATGCTTTTGCCAGTAGTGGATGATGAAGTGATAAATAATGGGCTTAAATTGCAGCAAGGGATTAGGAAAACCCTTGTAAAGGGGAGGATAAGGAAGCACTGCTCTAGAGGAGCTGGGAAAAGGGGGTCCTGATTGTTTTGAGGGAGCAGAGATGTAAATTTAGGATCTGCCATCACCAAGCTTCTCCTGCCTTGGAGAAGGGGAGGATGGTGGAGCCAATGACCTTCACTGATCCTTTCTTCAGTTTGTCACTTCGTGAGTCCTACATGGAATGCATGCAGAACACCCATGAGATGGCATCTGTGAATGTACCAAGAGCTTCTTGGCGTTTACATGGCATTTACTTTGGCTCAGGAAATAAAAATATATAAAGGAAACCTCCCATCATGCGCCGTGGAGCTTTCTCTGTGAACTTGCTGCTTCTTATATTGGTGGTACTTTGCCAGAGAGAGATGGTCATGTTGTTTCCAAGGCACTGCACCAGAGATTTAATGGTAAGGGATTTTCCTGTGTCATAGAGGAGATAGCCCTGACTTGGGTATCTCCCAAAAGAGAGGCCACTGGGGCTTTTATGACACAAGATTTTCTCCCTCCTGAAGTCTGCCTGCTTTATTCTCCCTAAGGGAGATGAGGTGAAAAGGTCTCTGCTGCTGCCTTTTATATCTTGCCAGAGGCTGGAAGAAAAGGAGAGGGGAAGGGCTGTTCCTTGCATTATCCATGTGGAAGGACTGGATGCTATATTGGGGATGGAGAGACACTCCAGAGCCAGCTGCACACTTGCAGAACAGAACAATCTGCAGCCTTGTGCTGGTGGTGACAGCCAGGTGACAACCACTCTCTCTGTCCTTCCTCCCTGTCTTCCACCCTCTGCACAACATTTTCCAAGACTGTAACACCTGAACAGCCTTGGAAATATTGAATTCCCAGCCAGCCATTCTTTAAAAAGTCATGGAAAGGAAGCAGTTGCTAATTTGAGGAGGAGGTTGGGAATGCTGGGAAGAGCCTCCTCTCTGGATGAATGCCTGCCTACCTGCTTTTCCTATGCTTCTCATGCATTATTCCTGGCAGGCTTCCAAGCACAATGAAATCTCTGACAGATAATCATTGGCAGAGTGGTGTCCAGGGTGAATAACACAGGAATCAGGTATTTCTTTTTTTGGCACCAAATTGTTTCAGGAAATTTTGAATGTCAAAAATAGAAGGAAGAAGAATCTACTTATTTAGCAAAGTCCCCAGATCTTGACAATTTGCCTGGTTATTTGTCATCTTCTGAGAGCCACCAGGTGATTTGGTTTTGGGGTTTGTCTGTCGTAATTTGGGGGAGTTTGGGTCACGACTGGGATGGAGTTTGGTGAATTTTTTGGGATGAGGAAAAAAGAGCTCTGCCAGCACATACTGCAACCTGGGAGCTGTGGCAGCTTTGGAGATAACAGCCTTCTGGAGAGGTCCTGGCAGGTCTGTGTGGGAGGCTGCAGGACTGAGGTGCATTAAACAAGTAGGTGGAATCCCAAAAGCAGGATTGGAGTCTGTGGTTTGTGCCAGCAAAGGAGGGTATGCAGAGGAACTCGGATGGACAGAGTTCCCTGGAGTTCAGCCCACTCCCTTAGAGCCCATCAGTGTTTCTGAGTGTTACTTGCACGTTTCAAAATTTAATTTTTTAAGATTTTTAATCTTGCCATGTTTTTGCCACTTCCTCCCATCAGTCCTTTTTGCCTGGTGCTGGTATCAGTAATCCAGCACTCTGCCAAGCAGTCAGTGCCTTCCTGTTGTGTCTGGCATGGGAACTGCGCATTGTGCTTTAGCCAGATGATTTGGAAGGGTGATTGTTCCCTGCTCTTCTCCAGTGTTTTCCATCCCAAGCTGTGGGATACAAACTTTAATTCAAATATATCATCCCTTACGAGATGGAGAAATTTCCAGGGGAGAGCGCAGAAAGTCTGCAGACAAACAGGTTTTGTTGCTCTGTGTTGAGGCACCTCTTCAGAAACGCCGCTTAATTTTTCTCCATGCTTGTCAGCGGATGCCTGGGATTTTGTTTGTTCCTCCCCTTCCCTGGAGGGATAGCAGCACCATAAAATGCTGATTTCCAGCGGAAATCTCCCAGCTTTCCGAGCCTGTTCCCTCGTTGCTCCCGATCGGGACGCGATGGGGCTGTGCTGCCGGCGGGCGAGCTGGTGAGTGTTGTCACTTTGTGCGGAGCAGCTGAAGCTGTAAAGCCTCCAGCTCCTCCAAAGCCTCCCTTTAATCTCCTGCTTAGAGCTCTCCGTGCGCTGCCGTGGGCTGCCAGACCCCGATTCCCAGCGCTGGGTTGTCCGTCAGCGTGATCCTCCTGCACGTGCTCTACCATGGAGGCCAGTGGTGCTCAGCCTGTTCACACCCTTCCTTCAGGCATGAGATCCTGGGGTGGATAAACATCTTCCACCCAGGAGAGACGGCAGAGGAGGGATTGCTGGCGTCCCACCCTCAGCATGGACCGGGCAGAGGGAATGACAGCGAGCTCATCCACAGCCATAGGCTCCTGGAGCTACGAGCGTCCTCCTCCCAGCCTCTCCAAAGTTGTTAATTTCTGTGTTTGTTCCAGATATGGAAAACAGGACCCTCCCTCAGCTCCCTGCCGAGGGCAGTGGGGTTTGTGAGGCGGATTGTCACAGGCTATAATGACATTACACGGCGCTGCTCGCCCGCAGCGCTGAGTCACCGGGGACAATTTTGGGCTGTTGATCTATAATAGCCCAGTCCTAAGGCACTGCTTTCTGGGGCTGGAGTTCACAGCAGAACTCCCTGCAGTCCAGGGAGGTGTGTGTGTGTGTGTGTACATCCATTTTATCCCCTTGTTAGTGGGAATTTTTAATTGGAAGGCATTGCAGTGCGTTGTTTTTCCCTCGGCATATCCGAGGTTCTCAGCAGAGCTGCTTGGACTTTTTATTGATTCAGGATGGGTCTTTTTTTGGCTGACTACTGTAAACGACGTAAGGCTTTAAAAACTGATCAATAATCCTGATGGTAGTGGCAAAATCCAGGCCAAGGCAGCGTGAATGCAAGCCAGAGATTACGTGAAGGAAGTTTTAAATACCTCTGACTCCCTTCCTTTCCGTGGACTTACTTTGTCCTCCCACTTCCCAATGCTTCTTCAGCCGAATCCATTAATATTTCTCATGCTTGTTGAGCCCGTGACGGGTGATTTAAAAGCCCCGGTTTGCGTTGGCACCTCCGCTCTTCATAACCCGAGCTGAAACACATCGCTGCTGTCCTTATGTGGATTAGCTGTGATTTATTGCTGTTGTTCCCAGGCTGGAACACAGAGGTGCTGTCTCATTCCAGGAAGGTTGTCTGTGGGAAGCGAGCCCCCCGAGGAGGACAGCTTGACAAACACCCGCGCTTTGGAACACGACATCATTTAGGCGCCTGTTTTAACTTCTTCATTGAGGAGTCATCCTCCTCCTTGCCTCAGCAAAACCTATTTTACAGGCTTAAAAAGGGGAAGAAAATGTGGCAAAAAGGCATCCTGGGTTTGATCTGTTGCTCTGCCTTTGATAAGGAAGTTGTTGTGGTTTAAGGGTTGAAGTTTGTACGAGCGGGTTTGCAAGGAGCAAGCGGTTTGATATGTGATTCCATCTCGCTCAGAACAAGTCTCCAACCTCTTGCCTTCCTTCAGAAAGTGGTTGTCTCATCCCAAGGGAGGTCTGCTGGGTAATTTGTGGGTAACTGAGGGGAACAGACCTCAGAGGGAGAAGGGTTTCCAGCATCTGAACAAAATTGTCTTAAATGGGAGAAAATGTGGTGTCAGAAATGACAGTGGTGTTGCTGGCTTTTCCTGCCTCATGATAAACGACTTTGGGAGGAGAAGTGGAGGAAAACTTGCTTTCTGGGAGCTACCACAGGCCTTTCATCATGTATCCTTGGACTTAGTCCCCAGGACAGGAGAGGGAGAGAGAGGAGCACTTGAGCCTACGGTAGTTTGTAGGCAGACCTGTGAAATGTGGGTTATCCATCATCCAGTTCTCTTCTCTTGGGAACTCATGGCTTTTGGCCTGGGCAGTGTGGCTGTATTCTCTGCCATCCCCCACAGATCCTGGGATGCTGCTCTGCCACTCTCCAGGCACCTGCTCTGTCCCCGTGGGAGTTGCAGGCATCCTCACTGAGTGTTTCCCAACCTTTGGCTGTGGCTTGTAAGGCAGGACATATCCCTGGAGCATTTTCTTGGAGGTGCTGGGTCTGGGGTTAAAAGTTAACAGTGCTCTTTCCTTATTCTATTCTAATTCAATTTGGGAAGGCAGCAGGGAGACAGAGGGCACTTAGTCCTCTAAGTGCTATTCCCTTGATGGGAGTTAGTAGCTTGCACTGCATGCGTGGTGTTGATTCTGTAAGCTGACCTTTACCTCCATCAGGTTCATTCTCATTTATAATACTTCTAAAAAAAAATCCTAACCTCCATCCTCTTATTTATTCCTTGGGCATCGAGGACATAAATCCTTTGGCGTGTTTGGATTTATAGAATTACTGTGCGTTTGCTGAGCCTCGCGTCCCACTCCAATCAAATGACACGGCTCTGCGGGCGATTGCGTTTCTCCTCCCCTGCCTCCCTCCTGGCTGCTCCTGATCCACGTCTCCTCGTGTTCCCTGCAGCCTTTTCAGGGCAAAGTGGGCCCTTGGCAGCTGTAGGAAAGGATGGGAAGGGGAATCTGCCAATCTTCAGTTGCTTCTGAAGGGCAGGAACCTCCAGGTACCTTCTTTCCTGGTGCAGAATGAAAAAACGCTAAGATGCTTTCCCAGGAGGCATTTCATCAGCTGTGCTCCAGGGCTCCTCCGAAACCAGAGCGTTTCCGTGGTGGCTGAGGAGAGGGGGGAGTTATAAATATCTTTCTTGGCTCTGCTTGGCTTCTCCTCAAGATAAATAGAAGTGAAAGTCAAAAGCAGAGGCTTGGCTCTCTTCAGTCTCTTCCCGAGTCCCCAGGGACCAGAGTGCAGGATGCTTTCGTGATGGGAAGCCACTTCCTGGTGTCTCAGAGGTCTTGGAGGATTCCTGGTGTCTCAGAGGTCTTGGGGGATGATGTTTGAGGGTCTTCTCTCCACACTGCCTGAGGCAGGTCTCAGATATGCAGTGATCTCCGTGCCTGGAGTCCGGTGGCTTCTGCTGTGGGAAGCCTCAGGGGGAGCGCAGGAGCATCGGTGAGAAGCCGGCCTGAAACAAGAGCAGAGAAAAGTGTCTGTGGTTGTCCTCTAAATCTTGTAGCATGTTTACTCTCAGAAAGTACAGCCACATTACCAAAAATCAATAGTTCTAGCAGCGTTCCTCCCTGGGAAACACACAGCTGCTCGAACACACGGGAGGTGGTGAGTCTTATAAAAGCCAAGGGAATACAAAGTGCTTTGGTACAATGGCTTTGCTGCACTTTTAGCAGTGGACAAATGGAAGGCCCTTCACCTGGGCAGTGTCCTCTGGGGCTTCCCAGTCATCCTTCTGCTGTGATGTGCCTGAGGCAAGCAGGGCTCAGGGTTTTTCTCATTAACTAATTTTGGCTTTGAAGTACATGAGTTTAGTAGGAAAAACAGGTTGTGGTGTGCAGCAGTAACATAAACAAAACTCTTCCTCTGGTTATTTTGTGGAAAAGTTTGACTTCTAGTGCTGGTGATGGGGTCTGGCACATCCCAGCATTTAATTTGTTTTCTTCACGGAATCCTGGAATGGTTTGTGTTGGAAAGGATCTTAAAGTGCACCTCGTTCCATCCCTCTTGCCATGGGCAGGAACACCCTAGACCAGGGTGCTTTGAGTCCCATCTAATCTGGCCTTGCACACTTCCAGGGACAGGGCAGCCACAGCTTCTCTGGGCACCCTGTGCCAGGGCCTCACCACCTCAATATTCTTCCCAATATCTGAATCCCTCTGGCAGTGGGAAGCCATTCCTCTTTGTCCCATGACTCCATGCCCTTGTCCAAAGTCCCTGTCCAGCCCCTTTGGGCACTGGAGGGGGCTCTCTTCAAACCCTAGTACTCCTTGCTTACCAGCACACCAGGGGTTAATTCTAATTCTGTTAGGAATCAAGAGAGGGGTGATTTCTGTTTTTCCTGGGTGGAGAGTGCTCTGTGATGGAAAGGAGTGACAGTGTGAGCAGCCACTGTGACAGGGACAGGTGTTAAGGTTTGGGGTGAGTGGGCACAGTGGCAGAGCACTGCAGGGAGCCCCAGAGAGCAGGAAACCATCCTTCCTTCTAAGGTCAGCCAAAACAAAAAGAGAAAGGTGACCAACCCCTTTTTACTGCCATCTCTTATTAATGAGACATTTTATCCTAAGTCCTCCAACATGAACGACGCAGGCTTTTGGGAACATAATTAATCTTTCTTGTATAAATCTTTAATTGTATGAAATGGAGTTTGTGTGGCTGTCGTCATTTCTCTTCCTCTCTTTTCCTCCTCTCCCGGTTTGAGATGCTTCCTTAGCACAGCTTCTTTTTTGAAGGCTGCTCTCCTTTAGGGCACTGACCCCGTGGAGCCACCACTCAGTGTCCCTCGAGGCCACGCTGCTGCCCCGGGGTCTCTTGCTCTGGCCAAAGACAGGCAGGGAATCACTTTCCCTATTGCACTTTTCCTTTGTGGAGCGACAGCAAACCCAGGAATTGTCCTGAAAGAAAACTAGCTGGTCTCCTCCAAGGGGAAAAAAAAGGGTATTTACAAAATAGAATACTCTTGGGAGAACCAACAAAAGAGCAGTTGTGCCCAAATCAGTGCCAGGCAGAGCCAAATGCCTCTTTGGAGGAGGTGAAGTGCAGCCTTTCAGATGCTAAGTAGTTATTTGGGATTTCAGTCATTCCCTCTATGGAGGAATTGATGCACCATTGGCTCCAGGAGGATTAACGGTGTTGGCTTTCCTTCTTGCCTTCTGTAAGGGCAGGAAGGGCTGTGGGACTGTCTCAAGCCCACGCCTGCAGGGACAGATAGAAAATTGAATAGGAGACAGATGGAATGGACATTTTGGAGATCTCCAAGGTGGGGAGAAGTCGTTGCTCAGGTTCTCGGTGACTCACAGCCCTCCTGTTAAACAGAGCTTCCAAATTAGCATCTCCACCGAGAAGCTTTTCCTGAAGCACAGCTGATGTTCCCAGGTACAGCAATTTCCTGCTGCTTAATGGAACGGGAGGAGCACTTTACGCTTGGACACGATGCTTTTCCAGCAATAACTTCTTGTAAGAAATTCTGATGTCATTTTTTTTTTGGTCTGCTTCGTGGATTGGATTAATGGGCAAGGGACACACCCCCCCGGGCGCCGGAGCTGGCTTGCTTTCCTTAATTTGCACTCAAGTCTTTGCCGAACAAAGACGGATTTGTTGAACAAAGCGGGGTCAGTGCTGGGATGAGGAGCCTTGTGCCTCCAGCCTGCTAGCTTGAATTAGGACTCAGCTGTAGCTGGTAAGTCCTGCATCCTGTGGCCTGGATCAGTGCAAACCTCCTGGCCTCAAACCTTGTTCCTGCAGAGCCTGCCACCTTGAGAGCCACCTGGGGGTGCAGTGAACAGCCTCCCCATGCTCCCTCAAAATAGGGGAGGTTTGAGCAGCTGCTGCTGTAGATAAAAAGAGTTCAAGTGCAGTCTTTAGTGGGAAAAATAATGTAAATAACATTTTCATTTAAAGGCAAAACCAATCTGTGAGTAGAGGCTTTTGACAGGGCCAGCTCCTGTGAGAGAGCCGTGGGCTGGCTGCAGGCTCCATTCCTCTGGTGCCCTTCAAGTGGTTTTTTTTCTTCTTCTTCTTTTCAGCTCTTCGAGAACTTCCACTTTGGGGAGGTGCAGCTGGACTCGGTGCGTCTCTCCCAGAGGTTCTCCTCGGATGCCTCTGGCTACTACGCAACATCTGGGCAGCTGTGCTTCTCTTGAGGCAGCCCTGTGTGCGTGATCCTTCAGTGAAAGGTTTTATAGGACATGAATCTTCAGTGGGAACCTGGGAGCTCCAAGCTGGGATGCCTCATGACTCCTCCAAAGCATGGGAACCATGGAATTTCCCTGCTGCTTTTCCCACTGCCCTCTCCTTGGGGGTTGCCAAGGGTCCTTCCTCCTCCCTTCCCCAAAATGTCACAAAGTTGCCTCTGGTATCTGTGGATTGCTGGTTTTCCAAGAAAACAACTAGAACTGGAGCTTTTGGGGCATCACTGATGTTTAAATGTGGCTTTTTTTTTTTTTCATAAGAAGGAAGTTTGTTCTTAAAATAAGTATTTAAAATCCAGGAGAGCTTCCCGGAGCACGATTTAACGATATTGAGGTCAGGCATTGCTTTGGATCTCCAGCAGCGTGCCTGTGTGATGTAGATCTCCAAATAAATTAATTCCCTTCAAAAGCAAAGTGTTTATCTCCTGTTGCATTGATAGTTTCTGTAATTAAACTTCCAGCACAGCACATAACTATGATAATAAGAAGGCATCGATGGTTAGAGCTCTTTCCAGTGACCGTTTCGGAGCGTGTCAAAAAACATATGCCTTGTAGGTGGTTTCTCCATTAAAAGCAGCACCAAGCTCTTTGATTCCATTGTGAATCCTTCAGAGATCTCAAGACAACGTTGTTTTTTCCTGTAAATTTCCACATTTGGTAAAAATAGCGACACAGGATTTCAATTTGCCCTAGGATGAACACTTTGAAAACTGGAAGGTGCTGGTGCTTGGCTGTTTTATAACAAAACAGGTGCTGCTGCCCATTCCTAGTTGCTTCTGTGGATATGGAATCATGCTGTGTTAGAGGTGGAAAGTGTCTCAGCCAGGTGCTCCAGCAGAACCCACACATCCTAGTGATCATTCCTAAGAGGTCTTCACCCCATTTCTCACCTCCAGAGTGAGCTGGCTGTTTGGCCATGCACAAACAGCAGTGGGAGTCGTTCAGGAATTGGGATTGCTTTTGGTTTTGCCCCCCAATACGTGATGCTGTTTATGTTTCACAGACCAAATTGCCTGTCTGCTTTCAAGCCTGCACATCAGGCAATCAAAATCATCTGTGCTTTTGCTGGGTGCCCTTGCTTGTACCCAGCTACAGCCGCTGGGCTGTTGGTGTCCTTTCCCTCGGCGTCAGAACGCCTTTGTGCTCTCCGAAAGCCGCCTTCCAAACGGTTCCCTCGGGGAGCAGAGCACCAGCACACGCTCACAGGGAGGTGCTGAGAGCACTTAACACCGGTTGCTGTCATCTTTCCGCCAGCCTCAAGAGGTACTTGGAAAATCTCTTTGGAACAGACCCGGGAGCTGCTCACGCAGCCACCAGGAAAGGGGAGATGAACCTTGGGAAGCTTCTGCCTGACGAGTTTTTAACGGCTCTCACCGAGAAGCTGAGGCAAACACGGGTTTTTGACAATTGGAGCGTGCTCCTCCTCTTGCCACTTGTGTAAACATGTCTTAGTGACAATTCTTTAGGAAGCTGGTTGAATTTCGCTGGTAAGCAGCTTACCCCGCTGCTCTAGCCTGGCACAGCAAAATTCATTTCACACCTTCTTCTCCAGGCAGAATTAAGGATTCTGATCTTTTCCCTGTCATCACTGGGGTTTGCTGGCAGTTATCCTTCCCATCCTGAGTGTCCTGGCAGGGAGAAGAGAAGCTGGATGTGTGCTATGGCATCCCCAGCTGAAGCTGTGAAGGAGCTGCAGCTGGGGTGAGTTGTTACTTGTTGCTTACCCTGATTTCCCCTGGCTGAGAAGACGGGAAAATCCAAAAGCAGAACCTTGGGAAAGGGGTGGGATTTTTCCCTGGAGCCCTAAGATGCTGTGCTGGGATGGCTGAGGAATGGGGACCGCAGTGTGAGCATTGCAGGGAGAGGGGGTTGGAGGATGGGAGATGCAGGGATATGGCAGGGATGAGGGGCTGTGGGATTGGGGTGCAGTAGGGACTGGGAATGCAGGATGGGGTACACAGAGATGTGAAAGGAATGGGAGATGCACGATGGATAGATGGTAAGGATGAGGGATTGTGGGCTGACTGGTGCTGGATGGGGACGTAGCAGGGGATGCAGGATGGGGGATGTGAGATGGGCACCTAGCAGGGACCAGAGATGCTGGATGAAGGATGTAGGACACAGATCTGGCAGGGATGTGGGATGAGAACATTCCGGGGACCAAGAGATGCAGGACATTGGATGTGGGGTGGAGACTGGGTGGGGGCCAAGGATGCAGGATGGAGGATGGAAAATGGAGATGTGATGGGGATGCAGGATGAGGACACGGTGTGGACCAGGGATGAGGGGTGCAGGGTAGGGGTGTGACAGTGGATGCAGGATGGGGGAGGTGGAATGGAGACCGGATAGAGCCCAGGAATGCAGAAGAGAGGATGCGGGAAGGGGGTGTGTCAGGGAATGGAGAATGGGGAATGCAGGATGGGGACGCGGTAGTGCAGGACGAGGACTTCAGGATGGGGG